TGTCAAGGCTCGAAATTTCCCTGGACCTTCACTTCGATATGCAATATGCTAAAGCACTAACATGTGTCTCTTTCGCACATAGATAATGAATATAGTAAGTTGCTAAAACTCCCAACCATCGTCTCTTTTTGTTAAAGAGGAAAGAACATTTTGATGTTTAACCTAATGTTTCCTGTGACTCCTTGGAGGGTCGAGGAGGATGGATTGTTCCCCAGAAAGAAAATTAAATTAAGTTAAAGTGAAATAAGAAGCACACTTGATGGCTACCTGAATCCATTCTTCTAAAAATAGGTGTTTGGTGGCTGTCACTATTGACCCTCCCCATAGGCAACACCCACCCACCTTCTCAGGAAAAGGAGACAGAGGAAAGAGTAGGTGATTACTGCATATAGTAACCTGGGAGTCATTTTCTTCTCTGGTTTACCATTTGGCACATGGGAACCTGCTGTAGTTTTCTTCATTTGGTTGTGGTCTTCTCTTTTGAAGATTAGTTGGTAACGGGTCATTCTATCTGTTGTGCCATTGTGGGGCCTTTAATGGCGGCCCATTGTCATGACTCACCTAATGGGGATGACATGAATAATTTACTAATTATCAGGTCCAAGGTTTTTTTAGTCACATTTACATCATCACGCGGTTTGCTGAGGTCTACCCTTTAATGGCGGCCCATTGTCACGACTCACCTAATGGTCAATCATTGAGATCACAGCTAAATGACTTTCCTTATCTAAAAAACAAAAGATAAGCTGCATCAATTCATTTAGGCGATACTTAAGGACTCCACTAACCTCAACAAAGACATTCATTTTGAAATTAATTGAGGTCTGGTTTGAGTGAGTTTGGGTTACTGATTACTTAGATTGCTATCTTGGAGCTGAAATGTGACAACTCCCAGAATTTACTAAGTATATACGGATCGATTTGAAGGAAAAGGATGAACTTAATCATTGAAGTTTATTGAACTTGTAATGTCAATGAAACTCCGACTGGTACTTAGGATGCTGGATTGCTTGAGCTCCTGTCTTCCAATTTTAGGTCCTTGAAATATTACATTCCTGGAGGCAGGAGTTTCATGTGCAATCTTACTAAAATAATAAATATAATATACTGAAAACACATCAGGGGCTCGCGTTGAAACTGATGCGGTGAATAAGTAGTTTTGCTCCTGTTGAGTGTAAGCTAAAACTGTTTGTATTGTGGACAGATGAAAGAAGCACAGGTTGAGCTCTTCTGTGTACTATGTTGACCCTTCTTTTAAACAATGCAGGAAAAGATCAGAGTGGCACTCTATGTAAAAAAGGCTGCACTGCAGTTCATTGATGGTATGATACTTAAACTTTCTGGTCTTTGTGCAACGATCTTGTCAGGCCTTTCCCATTGTTATATGCATTCAGCTTTTGCACTTGATTTTAATTTCCACAGCCGGTGCTGCCCAAGAAGCTATAGCTGGTAACCACACAGAGAGCAAGGTGTCGGATGAGGTCAGAAAATCAGGTTTCGGGATCGAAGCTGAAGAACTCGCTTCTATTGTTCGTGATCACGATGCCAAGGCTTTGAAAAGAAGCGGCGAGGTAGAAGGGATAGCAAGAAAGGTTTCTGTTTCTTTGAACGAAGGCATTCACACAAATGACGTCCCTGTTCGGCAGAGCATTTATGGCAGCAATTGTTATACAGAGAAGCCTCCTAAAAGCTTTTTCATGTTCGTTTGGGAGGCACTGCAAGACTTAACTTTGATAATCCTGATCGTATGTGCTGTAGTCTCAATCGGGGTAGGGCTTGCAACTGAAGGTTGGCCAAAAGGGATGTACGATGGTTTGGGAATTTTAATCAGCATTCTCTTGGTCGTCATGGTCACTGCTATTAGCGACTACAAGCAGTCATTGCAGTTCCGGGATTTGGATAAGGAGAAGAAGAAGATTTCTATTCAGGTCACCAGGGATGGGCGAAAGCAAGAAGTCTCCATCTTTGATTTGGTTGTTGGAGACATTGTTCAGTTATCAATAGGAGATGTAGTACCTGCTGATGGTGTTTTTATATCCGGATATAGCTTAGTGATTGACGAGTCGAGCTTGTCAGGGGAGAGTGAGCCAGTGAATATAGACAAGTCAAAACCTTTTCTTCTTTCGGGAACCAAAGTCCAAGATGGTTCTGGCAAAATGCTGGTAACAGCTGTTGGGATGAGGACAGAATGGGGAAAACTGATGGAAACTTTGAATGATGGTGGAGAAGATGAAACACCGTTACAGGTGAAACTAAACGGTGTAGCGACAATCATTGGAAAGATCGGTCTGGGTTTTGCTGTGCTGACATTTCTGGTGCTGACTGGTAGGCTATTGTGGACGAAAATATCCAACAATGAGTTCACAGAATGGTCTACAGCTGATGCATTGACACTTCTGGACTACTTCGCTATTGCAGTAACCATCATTGTTGTTGCAGTTCCAGAAGGGTTACCATTGGCTGTTACTCTAAGTCTTGCATTTGCGATGAAGAAGCTAATGGACGAGAAGGCCCTTGTTCGGCATTTATCTGCTTGTGAAACAATGGGTTCTGCTAGTTGCATCTGCACAGATAAGACAGGGACTTTGACAACAAACCACATGGTAGTTGATAAGATATGCATAAGTGGGAAAAAGATAAGCATAAGCCATAACAAGAGCCAAGGCATTTCAGGAATCGAAGCATCTGAAGGAGTGGTAAGCCTTCTTCTGCAAGCTATATTCCAAAATACTGGTTGTGAAGTGACCAAAGATGAAAATGCGAAGTCCAAGACTTTGGGAACACCGACTGACAAGGCTTTGTTTGAGTTCGGTTTGCATTTGGGTGGGGACTGGGATGCACAACGCAGAGAATTCAACATAATGAAAGTCGAGCCATTTAATTCAGTGAAAAAGAAGATGTCAACACTTGTGGCTCTTCCTGAAGGCGGCTCCAGAGCCTTCTGTAAGGGTGCATCGGAGATAGTACTGAAAATGTGTGATAAAGTTATTGATGAGAATGGGGATGTAGTCCAGCTGTCGGAGGAACAGATAAGCACTATCTCTGACGTCATAAATGAGTTTGCTTGTGACGCATTGAGAACCCTCTGCCTGGCTTATAAAGATGTAGGAGACGACACATGTGAGGAAAGCGGTATCCCGGATTCTGGTTACACATTGGTGGTTGTTGTTGGAATCAAAGATCCAGTTCGTCCTGGAGTTAGAGAAGCAGTTCAGACCTGCTTAGCTGCTGGAATAACTGTTCGCATGGTTACGGGAGATAATATCAATACTGCTAGAGCCATAGCTAAAGAATGTGGGATACTTACTGAAGGTGGTGTGGCCATAGAAGGGCCAGAGTTCCGTACCAAGACCCCTGATGAAATGAGAGCCATTATACCAAAAATTCAGGTTTTTCCATTTTACAGCATTAGAAGGCTTAATCATTTCTGAAAGCCTGTTGCTTTTGATCTTCAACTATTTTTCCTTTTTATTGGTGCAGGTGATGGCGAGATCCTTGCCTCTGGACAAACATACCCTCGTTACGAATTTGAAGAATATGTTTGGTGAAGTCGTGGCAGTCACTGGTGATGGTACGAATGATGCTCCAGCCTTGCATGAGGCAGACATTGGACTTGCCATGGGTATAGCCGGAACAGAGGTATGCCCATCTCGACAATTTAGTTGATTATTGAATCTGCTCGAGCTGTTTAGTCACCCTTGGTGTCAGACGTTTCCACTGGCCTCTGTGGAAGTTCTATCGTCATTCATACCCTTAATTTCTTAGTACAAAATCTGAGCTTTATATTTCTGCAGGTTGCGAAGGAGAACGCCGACATAATTATAATGGACGACAACTTCAAGACAATTGTTAACGTTGCGAAATGGGGACGTTCTGTCTACATAAATATCCAGAAGTTTGTCCAGTTCCAGCTCACTGTTAACATTGTTGCACTGGTTCTCAACTTCATTTCCGCTTGCATATCAGGTAGGTTCGTTATGTTCTTTTGCTCGGTTTTCTAGAAAAAAAAATGTCTAGTTAGTTACTAAATCATCACTCTTTTGTATGTGAAAAATCTCCCAGGGTCTGCTCCACTGACTGCTGTGCAGCTGCTGTGGGTAAACATGATCATGGACACTCTTGGTGCCTTGGCACTGGCAACTGAGCCTCCGAATGATGCTCTGATGGAGAGACTTCCAGTTGGCAGAGGCGCGAGCTTCATCACTAAAACGATGTGGAGGAATATCTTTGGTCAGAGCATCTATCAGCTGATTGTGCTTGCAGTTCTCAATTTCTACGGCAAGCAGCTGCTGGGACTGTCAGGTCCAGATGCTACGTTGACTCTGAATACTCTGATATTCAACTCCTTCGTCTTCTGCCAGGTAATACCTTCTTCCGTATGGAACTCTGAATCAATCGATGTCGAGTCCAATTCTTGCTGTAGGCCATGAATGCTGCAGATTTTAAGTTGGTCCTTTTTTGTTGTTTGTACTACTGGCAGGTCTTCAACGAAATTAACAGCCGGGAGATCGAAAAGATCAACATTTTGAAGGGGATGTTCAGCAGCTGGATATTCGTGGGAGTGATGACAGTCACGGTGGTGTTCCAAGTGATCATCGTCGAGTTCCTGGGAACATTCGCAAGCACCGTCCCACTCAGCTGGGAAATGTGGCTTTTCAGCGTGCTGTTGGGAGCTGTCAGCTTGGTGATCGCGGTGGTTTTGAAATGCATCCCTGTTGGAGTTGAAAACCAACGGCCACCAACGACTAAGCAACACGACGGTTACGACGCTCTCCCCACCGGTCCAGACATGGCTTGATGAAGTAGTAGTAGTAGTAGTAGTAAGAACAGTCTTGAAAGTTTTGGTTTTTCAGCTTCTGGTATTTCCATGGAAACTGTTCTCTTTTTGGCCATCTTTTGAGCAAGCGAGAAATATACAACAGATGGTCGTGTAAAGAAAGGGTGTTGAGATTGGCAAGTGATTCTGCTAACGAGAATGAACAAACTACAGACTCTCGAAGTACTTTCTCGACAGTATATTCTCGAGTTCGCTTTAAACGAATTGCAAATTTACTCTAATGAATGTAATGAGTGTTAACAATGTCGCATCAAGGTCCTCCTTCGTGAAAACTGAAGTCACGAAAAATCGCAGTTAAAATTAAAATTGGGATTTTATAGAAAGGATCAATATTTGCTAGAAGTCTCCCACTTCAGTCATTCCTACCTTAAATATACAAAACAACATAGCAATGCTATGTCTCTCTCTAGTAAATGAATCAAAATTCATCCTCCCATATGCAGAAGCCTGAGAAAAGATGGGGGGATTCCCTAATCATCTTTTGTGAAAACATGAAGGGTAAAAGAAAAGAAAGAGGAGGGAATTCATCCCTTTCTCATTCATCTAAACCTTCTCTTGGTCTCTCCATAAGCAACCACTCCAAGTACAGTGATGGTGTACCCACCGATCCCGATGAAGGTAACCGGGTTCCTGAATATGAAGATGGAGATCACCACAGCTACTGCTCCTTTCGCATTCCCCAGCACCTGAAAGAAAACCACCCCAAAACCAGAAACGGAATTATTCAAGCTTCCTGAGACTTGCATTCAGAGGCAATCTGACCGACGTTCTGTGTTAATACGCACAATGCTGGAGTTAAAAAGGTTGAATTAAGCGAGAGTGAGGAATCCGAACCTGGAGGGTCAATGCGCTGGTATGTTTGGTGACCAAGAAGTTGGTCAAGTTGGCGGAATAGGCGAGTGAGGAATTGAGTATGAGTAGCAACCACATGAACTTGTCTTTCCTCCCGAGCGCCAATGTGTAACTCAACACGTCAGGCTCCATCACGATCACTGCAGGGACTAGCACGAAAACAGCAATCGGTGACATGTAGAGCAGCAAGTTCATCGAGTTCAGCTTCTCTCTGCAGCATCAGGGCAGCAAACAACAATGTTTCTAATGTCAATCGGGGGACACTTTACTTAACACCCTAACCAGTCCTCGAGGTAGAGGAAAACAGATGAGGTTCACATGCAATAACATTCCGGGCATTGTATCAACTCAAGCATTGGAATGTTTACCCATCAGAAGAAAGCAGAATGCCCTGAAGAACAGACTTAAAAGCCCTCGCAGCAGTTGCACTGATGCACATGATAAATCCAAACAAGTGAAAACCTGGTTCCCCCTGCCGTGAGCACAAGAGTTCATTAGTTCAACCCTGGAATTCGCAAGAGGGGCAGCAACGGCTGGAGATAACGTTGAATGAAAGAGGTGAAAATCACAACACTCCTGTCCTAGATGACATTATAGTTTTACTTCTTCCCTTTTTCTGTTCAATGCAGCTGCCCACTAGACAACACAGCAAAAAGTGAGCCAAGATTCAACTGAAGATGAAGAAACTTACAACCACAGTAGGAAAGTTAACTTGCGTAAGTAATACAGTTTTACATTCTTCCTTTGTGAAACTCTCAACCCAATACAAACCATTTCTTAGTTAAAAGATTATGATATGCAAACCTATGAAATGAGCTTTACAAAAGCAGGTGATTTGGATTCCAAGACAAAGAAAAGAGATGTTACAGTTAAAACAGAAACAGCTTAAAAACACCTGCTTGTGTTAACCCAGACAGGCAGCGCAGAACCAAAGTATCAACAACACACATTGATGAAACAAACTAGCTAACTCCTGCTTTGGCCACACATACAACAAATATAATGTCACTATGATTATGGAACACCAATTTTAAGAGAGGAAGGAGTATCAAAGTGTTAAAAAGGAATGCATGTTGAAAAAAGGAAGGAAGATGGTCAATGCAATATACCATTAGCTAGGGAATCAGTATATCACAGCTTTACGAATAAAACCAACCAGACCCTAGTTGCGATCTTAAAACCGTAAATAAGAACTCTAGAAATTACCAATTTTACCGAGAAGAAAGTGGTAGATACATAAAGCAACCACCATTGATGAGCAAGATAACAACTTCCAAATTAGTTATACCACTAACTAACTACCTTCTAAACAAGAGACTCTGTTGAACAACTTCCATATCATCCAAATCGACACTTATCTAGAGCCTACACATTCCAAATTCCCTCCAATCTGATATCACATTTGGCTTATAACAATCAACTGAAGGAACAAAAGGAAGAAGAACAAAAGCCAGAGAAAAACCATTAAAAGCATGCATTTTGTAAGAACAGATCACAGAGCGACTCAGGTCCAGCATAAATGGCAAATCCAGATACAACCCAGATCTGCATTGCCATAATTGAGCACCAAAAACAGGCCATTCCGGATCTAGCGAGCAAAATCATTAAGAGGGCAAAATTGAATTAGGCACTATAATCAGATTACCCCGCTGGCGATGACGACGCCGATAACGACAGGGACGAGGGCGAAGTAAGTGACCCAAGCCTCCCGCTTAAACGTCATCAAGTAAGCGAACACGGCGGTGAAGAACGGCGTGGTGGCGCCGACGGCCTGATTGAAAGAAACAGGCAGGTAACGGAGGGAAATGTTGCCGCCGACAACCGAGGCGCAGAAGACGACGCTGAGCGTCGAGATCTTGAGGAGCTGCTGCCTCGATTTCAACGTCTGGAGGGGCACCACTTTGAGGAAGACGATCGAGATGTAGGAGAAGATGGCGCAGGCGGACATGTGGCACATTGTGAGGAAGATTGGGAACCTGAACCCGTAATTGGAGAGGAGGAATTTGTTGAGGAGAAGGACGCCGATGTTGGATGAGTACCATAGCGTGACCAGGGAGACTATGAACAGCGCCTGTTTCTTCGCCGACGACGGCGATATGGACGATTGTCCCGAGGAAGAAGAAGATGACTGTAGAACCGCCATTGTTTTTGATCGTGGGTTGTCCGGGATTTCTGAATCAGAAGAAGACGTTCTTCATCTAAGGTAAAAAAAAGAACTGGCGGTGGCCGGAGATTTCGGTTTCTTCTTCTTCTTCTTCGGAGCAGGTTTTCCGTTTGTTTTCTTTCCCCTGGGAATGGGAGTGATTTGATTGGAAAAATTGTCTGTTTGTTTTATTTTTTCTCTCGTTTTTTTATTTAATTTTTGGGTGTTTCTTTTTCGAGACTTGTTTCTGATTTGTATCGGCGGACACGTGTCCCCAAATATTATGATACTTAATTAATTCATTATATATTGACTCGTGGAAAGTGCGAGAAAATATAACAGTGAACGTTGAAATGGATCAGACGGTTCTAATCACGTTATAACGTATAATTGTTGGATCGAGTACTAGATCGTGTTACTGTTGTGAGATCTAAACGCATTACAACTATGCATTATTTCTCGTATGCTGCATAATCTTTACTATGATGATGAGATTACAAATTGGACGATCAAGGACGCACATGAATAATATGTACGTCTATATCATTCGGTCAGGATAAGAAAGAGAAAGCGGCTTATTTAATTAGTTTTTGTTTCATTGTCTTGCATGTTTTAGTTGTCCATAGGCTACACAAAGGTGAAAGGTAGTTGTCAATCGAATTAAGGTAGGTTGATTACCATCAAACTACATAAAGGCAGGTTAAGTGCATTAGAAACTATAACTTTTATGATGCCTTTAATTCCATGTTATGCTATCTCAAGAAAATGATGCCTTTAGATGCACAAAAGCAATGTGTTTAGACAACATACAATTGTTTTGTGATTATTGTCATTTTCAAACGAACATATGTTGAATTCATCGATGGAGTGCATAATTATAACTTGTGGTTAGAGAAGGAAAAAACACAAAATTATGAATATAAAGCTTGTTTGCGCCATTACATGATGAAAATCACATTGGATACGTTCAAAACTATTCTGAATCTTTAAAGTCGAGAATTCAAGTTAACCACTCTTATCAATGACCACAAAGAGATTCTTCTCGGCCCTGTTTAGTGTGGTTGCGAGGTCTAGCAATTATCCAGCAATAAACTAACAATGTTAAGGATTACACCCTAGATAAGTAAAAATCAAATTATCCATCACTTTCCTCTCTGAAAGTAACAAAGACCTGCATGAAACGTTTCTCCAACTCCTGTCCACCAATAACACCCAAATTACCATGTCAAGTAACTTTTTTCATGTTCTTGGTAATTCCAACCACCAAGGAAAGTTGAATGAATGGGGTAGGACGAACATGAACAATGAAAACGGCATCTCAAACGGCGACTTCATAACCACCTGCTATTTCCCACATGGGAACCAACCAAGTCTATCAACACTACACAGATGAGTAACTTGCTTTTCTTGCAAGAGAAGAGGATGCCATGAAAGGAGAACGATGAACACCAAGCAGCTATAACGAAAGTTTGACGATAATACTAGCAACTTCAATTCGAACAGACAGAAGGGTTCTTCTTCTTCCCATCATCAACCCTACAGAATCTAGCTTCTGATCCTGTGGCAAGAATGAGGTAATAGTAAAAGACTAGTTTCTGATTCTTCTGCTGCAGATCCCACCATATATCATATCAATCTTGGTATCTCACTATATCACCTATGAATTTGTGAGGGTTTCAGTCAGATTCCCTGATAGAACGGACGAGATGTGTAACTCGATACTGGAGCTTCCCATTTTCAACAGCAAGCTTCTGAGCCTGAAAGAATTCACAGGAGGGGAAAAGGTTATGCAAGTATGGAACTTTGATCGATACGGACCATCAAATTGTGAAATAGCTGCAACTACCTTCTGTCGTTCAGAAGCTAACTCTGCAGTTACATCCTCTAATTTCGATTGGAGTTTACTTATAGTCTTCAAAAGCTCCGAATCCTCACCATCTGAGTTCCACAATAATACATTGATGGACAGATTTAGTTAGATATACTGTGCACAATATAGCTTCAGCAAAGCAAATGCCTCAAATTTCAGAACACATATTTGAAACACACTTGCCTGCTTTACTTGCTAATGCAGCTTCCAGTCTTGACAGTCGATCCTTCAAGCCCATATATGATCGTTAGAATACGTTATACTAAGCCCTAACTCTAGGAAACGAGAGGAACTTTGTTCATCAAAGTAACTTGACGAAAGAGAGAAATTTTCCTCGAGTAAAAAGGCCAACGATGGCAATAGCACAATAGTTTGCAGATATAAAGTGAGCACAGGGTAGACAAAATGCAGCAATGTTATTGCAGGGTTGCTCTAACAATCATTTAAATGCTTGAAACTCTCATTGTGCCAGAATAACTTCCCAATAAGATAGCACTGGATCGACGTTATGATCCCTCATAGACAGCATTGATCGCTGCTCGGTGGTTTTAATTCCACAATCCATCATCCCATCCTTGAAAAAAAAATCCTAACTTTCCTATGCATTCTCTCAATTCAAGCTAACCAATTCCTAAACCGAGGAACACTCGAAATTCCCAAATTCATTCAACCTAGTCTCCACAGCAGCCCCTATGCACAAAAGCATTTCCTACCAAAACAGGGTTATTGCAGCCAACATGCGAGCATTCTGCAATTCACCATCCAGGGTTTTCAGTTCATTCAGTTTCACTGAGAAAACCCACTGATGATGTTTTCCCCAGACAACCAAACAGAGCAGGCAAAATCGAAACTTGAAAGCATGGGAGGATCGTGATTTCATATTCCGAGAGCTGGGTTTTTGAACAGTGTATGCAACAGAATCTTTGGTGTAAGATTAGAGAAGATCGTTGAAGTTAAGGAGGAAGGCGGGGGTAATGGAATTCAAACCTCGGCCTCGAGAGCTCTGTGGTGAAAGGCTTTGAGGGTTTCCCGGGCTTCGCTTCCAGCCCCGTCAATCGTCGGAGCCGCCATTTTCTTTATTCCGGTTTCGGAGAGATGAAACAGAAAATCTTCCGATCTTCAGTTATTTTCTCCGGCCGGAGGCATTGGGTGCCCCGGTCGTTTTCTTTTCTCAGCTTAATGTAGGGCTTAGGTTTCTCCTTTCCAAAGGTGCAAAGGGAAACAAATATATTTCATTTACATTTTTAGATTACATTGCATCACTAATGGTCGTTAACCAAAATTCCTAACAAAATATTTGTGAAATCTCTTCAACATCTTAAATAGTCTCATAGTATTCATCGAAAATAAATAAATAAATAGTCTCATAATCTCACCAAATCAATCGCTTTAACGTTTCGTTAGATCCAAGGTATTTTAATTCGAGAAAGTTGAACTCTCGATGATCATGGATTTTGAGTTGAACCTCCTCTAGTATCCATCATCCAATTAGATTTGGCAATGTTCTAACGACTCGATCATTTGAATTTTGACGTCATAAAGAGCCTAACGACTCGATCAAACTAATTTTAGATGATCCTCATTGCAAAGTCCATATTTTCTATATATATTAAATATATATTACAATAAAATTGTATTTCCATCATCATCAGTAATTAGAAACACAATGCCAACCAAATGAACTTGACTGGTAGTATCTGATTCAAGGCTGGCCAAGGAGAGAAGGCCTGTAGAAAGCATGAGTTTGGGCAATCTCAATCCTCTCCCTTGGATCGTTCAATGTCTCATCCCTCAGAGCCTGCAGAATGGCTTCACAAGACCTCTCCCTGCACCAACAATGGCGAAAAAGAACACAAAACAGAAATGAGATCCCTTTTCTGATTGTTCGTCATTTGATTACTTCCCTTTTGCAGGCTCAGAATCATTACCGTGAAATGAGGATGGTGTAGAGCGTTTTCAGGATTGGACACAATTCGACCGGTGCTACTGGCTTCTTCACACCTGGGTGTAACATGCTCAGGCTCGGCTGGCTCAGCAGCTCGTAGAACGCTCCAACTGCAGATACACCCTGCAACGCCATTCAATTTTCGCACAAAAAACCCGGATCATCAGTCGGATTCACGTTGCCAGGACCTGCAACGTCATTCAACTAAACCCCGACGATTCCAACAGCAGGTCGCATCCACAGTTCTGGCTACACAATGGGTACTTAATCGTTTGGTAACGAATCATGGCAAGTTCAGTTTGATCAAATTTTCTCCATTGTGTCACTCAATTTTGATCACAATGCAGGTCTGCTGTGATTCTATCTATAGTGAAAAGACAGCAGCAAGCAATCACAATTTAGTTCTCAAAATCGCCAATAACACCAACCTGGATCATGCCTTTCCCCTTGATGCTGTCTCCCATGTCGCGGCTGAGCTCACCTTTCGCCAACATCTGCCCGTACCAAGCATTTCTACCTTTCAGCAGCGTCACGTACGTATCAGCCAGCAATGGCCCCGCAAGCTTCTCCGGCTCCTCAGCAAGCAAATGAGTGATGAAGATCATCTCCGATGTACAATGCGCAAAGTACACCGACTTGCTCGTAGCGCTCTCGTTGGTCAGTGCAGCCACCATTCCTGCCATAAAAACACAGACAGTCCACAGCAACCCAAAGACCCTTAATACGCGAATCCTCTTCAATCGTATCGATTCACGCTGGGAACAAAGCGAAAAAAGTCACGGATCAAACCTGCTCCAATTGCATAGACGTTCTTCAATCCACCCATGACTTCGTGAGTAATGAGGTCGCTGTTGTCCCACACGATGAAATGTGGTTGCCGCAGGAAGTTGGCGATGTGTTTTCTCCACTTCTCGGCTCCGCAGATTCGAGCATTCGCGTACTCCTTGTTGTAGATCTCTGCTGCGATGTTTGGTCCGCCGAGGTACAGTATGTTCTCCATTGGCACTCCAGCTATAACCAGACAATAAGCAGGGTCAGCCATTGCAATCAATATACAGATCAACCAGTAGAGTAATCAGGTCGGACCCGAAGGTTGATCCATCACAATCGACTTGATTACTAGACTAATCAACCACATAATTCCTAATCCAATCATCATCCACACACGTTCAAATCAAAATTATGAAGCCTGAACCAAAACCGAATCAAATAGAATCAAATCAAACCAGTCGCACTCACTTACTTGCAAGCTTGATCATCTGTGTAGGAGTAATGATATGAGGAACAGGGGAAAGCGCCGCCTCAATCCCTTTCGCCAGCGAGATGATAATCGGCATGCTAATCCTCTCCTTCCAATACAAACTAATCTCTTCGAAAACCTCCCTGGTGTCCGTCGACGGAACTCCGTTCACCACGATATCGGCGTCCCAAACCGCCTCCTGCAAATTCGTCACCACTTTCATCGGGCACAGCGGCGTGTCGATCATGTTGATGCAAAACCCATCTTTCAAGATCTCGTCGGCGTACAGGGTCCGGTCGCCGAGGCGGGCCTCGACGTATTTGAGGTAGGCGCACCGCCGGATCAGCCGCCGGAGCACGTCTTCCCGGGAATTGATGACCTCGAAGAGGTGCTCCGCCGTGGACCGGTCCACCGCCCGACCCGCCCTACGCCATATCCGGATCTGGATCTTGTCGCGGAACTGGCCGTAGCTGTCTTGTAGAAGGGCGGCGAAGACGCTCCCCCAGGCGCCGGCGCCGACACCGACGATACGGAGAGGGTCGCCGTCGGCTTTGCCCAGTAGACGCCGCAGCTCGTCGAGCTTCTCTTCCTGCCCGGAATTGGCGCCGTTGGTTGATTGGTGAGTTGGTGAGTTCCCATTCTGCTGATGATGATGATTATCGGGACTCCCCGTCGTTTCAATGCTTCCCACCATTTCCTTTCCTTTCCTCCCTTCTCCCCTTTCTTCTTCTTCTTTCAATCGCAATCACGAATTGGGTTTGTTCCAGAAATCAAAAACGAAAACAACCCAGAATCGGAAACTTTGTACGGGTTTCCCCCTTTTGAGAAATCGAAGTGGGGAACACGATGGGAAGGGGAATTCCAATGGAGATTTACAGTAAGTGACAGAGAAAGGCGTAGGGTTTTATGGTTTTATCTCTTTCCCAATCTCTTTTTTAGCTTTGGAGTGTCCGCCTGTGAGTTTGTTCAGCCACCATAACTACAAAGCTATGGCTTTTCTAGTGCTAATCGAAGAATGTGAAGAATCAACATAGAAAATTGAACACGAAGGCGCGTAAGAGGACGAAAAGTCAAACAAAATTGCCGACCTAATTGGGCAACCGACCTGAATTCACAGCTGGAAGCAATGGCGGTGAGAGCTTCTAGTTCGCCATGCAAAAATGGTGATGGAATGGAAGGAAGTAATCGTGACAAAATTGCAGTAACAGAACAGCGTGGAAATGTGCACAGGAAAAAGGAGGAAAGGCGTTTACAGTTGGGGGAAAGGGGAAGGAAGAGGAGGAAGAAGATGATGATGAAGAAGAAGGAGGTGGAGGTGGAAGAAATTTAATGGAACAGTTCATTTTCGGTACACATATGGGGGCCGCCATTAATAAACCTCATGGTTTGTGCTTTTCCCCCTGCCAAGTGCCAGCTCCATCCCTGCACCTCATTAATGCTTCACTTTGTTGTTTGTTCCGGACTGCAGATTGCTCTCTGTAACTCCATTATTTCCTCATCTTCACATCTGTTTGTGGAAATCTTATGAAAGAGTAACCAGTTACTTGTTTGATCGTGGAGATAATGCGATGATTTAGATGCTTAAACCGTGTATCTGCGATTCCTTGATAATTCCAGTTAAGACCAAGATTTCTTTACAGCAACTCAGCTGGAAGATGCTTGATGCTTTTACCCAAATTGGGCTTCAGATTTTGGGAAATGTGAAAAATGGGCTTGATGTTAAAGCCCAATTACATTGTTCAAAAAGAAGTCGAGCCCAATACTCCGCCGTGAAAAGACTAGCCCTCCATTTGTATGGACAGAATTTGGATAATCAGAGACATAATACGTGATTACTGAAATAAAGTGCAGAGTGCTCTCCAGACTACACTCTAGAACCAGAGGCAACAGAATTTGTATGGACAGAAGACGGAATCAGGTCGAGGCTATTCTCCACCGATAATGAAGTCTATTGATCCTATTCTCTACGGATGATAAGACCGTTAAGCATCAATTTTAGCCAATTTATTTTTCGGATGACATTTTCGTAATTTCTTGGGCGACGAAAGACCATTTTCTTTGAATATTGAAGGCTACAGATCACGGATTCGGCCTGAGGCTATTCTCCAACGATGATTGAGTCCATTAAGCACCGATTTGGGCGGATTTATTCCGGGACAATTTTTGGCAGATTCCAAAAGGGTACCATCACAGATTTCGGGTGATTTATCCGAAATGCCATTTTCTTTCGATTCTCGAGGCTACAGATCACGGAATCAGGCCGAGACTATTCTCCACAGATAATGAAGTCTATTGATCCTATTCTCCACGGATGATAAGTTCGTAAGCATCGATTTGGGCCAATTTATTATCGGATGGCATTTTCGTAATTTCTTGTGTGACGAAAGGCTATTTTATTTGGATATTGAAGGCTACAGATCACGGATTCGGCCTGAGGCTATTCTCCAACGATGATTGAGTCCATTAAGCACCGATTTGGGCAGATTTATTCCGGGTCAATTTATGGCAGATTCCAAAGGGGTACCATCACAGATTTCGGGCGATTTATCTGAAATGCCATTTTCGTTCGATTCTGGAGGCTACAGATCACGGAATCAGGACGAGGCTATTCTCCACCGATAATGAAGTCTATTAATCCTATTCTCCACGGATGATAAGTCCGTTAAGCATCGATTTGGGCCAATTTATTTTCGGATGGCATTTTCGTAATTTTTTGTGCGACGAAAGGCCATTTTCTTTGGATATTGAAGGCTACAGATCACGGATTCGGCATGAGGCTATTCTCCAACGATGATTGAGTCCATTAAGCACCGATTTGGGCGGATTTATTCCGGGACAATTTTTGGCAGATTCCAAAGGGTACCATCACAGATTTCGGGTGATTTATCCGAAATGCCATTTTCTTTCGATTCTCGAGGCTACAGATCACGGAATCAGGCCGAGACTATTCTCCACAGATAATGAAGTCTATTGATCCTATTCTCCACGGATGATAAGTTCGTAAGCATCGATTTGGGCCAATTTATTATCGGATGGCATTTTCGTAATTTCTTGTGTGACGAAAGGCTATTTTATTTGGATATTGAAGGCTACAGATCACGGATTCGGCCTGAGGCTATTCTCCAACGATGATTGAGTCCATTAAGCACCGATTTGGGCAGATTTATTCCGGGTCAATTTATGGCAGATTCCAAAGGGGTACCATCACAGATTTCGGGCGATTTATCTGAAATGCCATTTTCGTTCGATTCTGGAGGCTACAGATCACGGAATCAGGCCGAGGCTATTCTCCACCGATAATAAAGTCTATTGATCCTATTCTCCACGGATGATAAGTCCGTTCAGCATCGATTTGGGCCAATTTATCTTCGGATGGCATTTTCGTAATTTCTTGGGCGACGAGAGGTCATTTTCTTTGGATATTGAAGGCTACAGATCACGGATTCGCCCTGAGGCTATTCTCCAACGATGATTGAGTCCATTAAACACCGATTTTGGGCGGATTTATTCCGGGTCAATTTTTGACAGATTCCAAAGGGGTACCATCACATATTTCGGGCGATTTATCCGAAATGTCATTTTCTTTCGATTCTTGAGGCTACAGATCACGGAATCATGCCGAGGCTATTCTCCACCGATAATGAAGTCTATTGATCCTATTCTCCACGGATGATAAGTCCGTTAAGCATCGATTTGGGCCATTTTATTTTCGATTGGCATTTTCGTAATTTCTTGGGCAACGAAAGACTATTTTCTTTGGATATTGAAGGCTACAGATCACGGATTTGGCCTGAGGCTATTCTCCAACGATGATTAAGTCCATTAAGCACCGATTTAGGCGGATTTATTTCGGGTCAATTTTTGGCAGATTCCAAAGGGGTACCATCACAAATTTCGGGCGATTTATCCGAAATGCCATTTTCTTTCGATTCTGGAGGCTACAGATCACGGAATCAGGCCGAGGCTATTCTCCATTGATAATGAAGTGTCTTGATCCTATTCTCCACGGATGATAAGTCCGTTAAGCATCGATTTGGGCCAATTTATTTTCGGATGGCATTTTCGTAATTTCTTGGGCGACGAAAGGTCATTTTCTTTGGATATTGAAGGCTATAGATCACGGATTCGGCCAGAGGCTATTCTCCAACGATGATTGAGTCCATTAAGCACCGATTTGAGCGGATTTATTCCGGAATAATTTTTGGCATATTCCAAAGGGGTACCATCAGAGATTTTTGGCGATTTATCCGAAATGCAATTTTCTTTCGATTCTGGAAGCTACAGATCACGGAATAAGGCCGAGGCTATTCTCCACCGATAATGAAGTATATTGATCCTATTCTCCACGGATGATAAGTCCGTAAAGGATCGATTTGGGCCAATTTATTTTCGGATGACATTTTCGTAATTTCTTGGGCGACGAAAGACCATTTTCTTTGGAAATTGAAGGCTACAGATCACGGATGCGGCCTGAGGCTATTCTCCAACGATGATTGAGTCCATTAAGCACCGATTTGGGCGGATTTATTACTGGTCAATTTTTGACAGATTCCAAAGGGGTACCATCACAGATTTCGGGCGATTTATCCGAAATGCCATTTTCTTTCGATTCTGGAGGCTACAGATCACGAAACAGACCGAGGCTATTCGCCACTCATAATGAAGTCTTTTGATCCTATTTTCCACGGATGATAAGTCTGTTAAGCATCGATTTGGGCCAATTTATTTTCGGATTGCATTTTCGTAATTTCTTGGGCAACGAAAGGCCATTTTCTTTAGATATTGAAGGCTATAGATCACGGATTCGGCATGAGGCTATTCTCCAACTATGATTGAGTCCATTACGCACCGATTTTGGCGGATTTATTCCGGATCAATTTTTGGCAGATTCCAAAGGGGTACCATCACAGATTTTGGGCGATTTATCCGAAATGCCATTTTCTTACGATTCTGGAGGCTATAGATTACGGAATCAGGCCGAGGCAATTCTCCACCGATAATGAAGTCTATTGATCCTATTCTCCATGGATGATAAGTACGTTAATCATTGATTTGTGTTGATTTATTTTCGGATGGCATTTTCGTAATTTCTTGGGCGATGAAATACCATTTGCTTTGGATATTGAAGGCTACAGATCACGGATTCGGCATGAGGCTATTCTCCCACGATGATTGAGTCCATTAAGCACCGATTTGGGTGTATTTATTCCGGGTCAATTTTTGACAGATTCCAATGGAGTACCATCACAGATTTCGAGCGATTTATCCAAAATGTCATTTTCTTTCGATTCTTGAGGCTACAGATCACGGAATCATGCCGAGGCTATTCTCCACCAATAATGAAGTCTATTGATCCTATTCTCCACGGATGATAAGTCTGTTAAGCATCGATTTGGGCCAATTTATTTTCGATTGGCATTTCCGTAATTTCTTGGGCAACGAAACACCATTTTCTTTGGATATTGAAGGCTACAGATCACGGATTCGGCCTGAGGCTATTCTCCAACGATGACTAAGTCCATTAAGCACCGATTTGGGCGGATTTATTCTGGGTCAATTTTTGGCAGATTCCAAAGGGGTACCATCATAAATTTCAGGCGATTTATCCGAAATGCCATTTTCTTTCGATTCTGGAGGCTACAGATCACGGAATCTGGCCGAGGCTATTCTCCACCGATAATGAAGTCTCTTGATCCTATTCTCCACGGATGATAAGTCCGTTAAGCATCGATTTGGGCCAATTTATTTTAGGATGGCATTTTCGTAATTTCTTGGGCGACGAAAGGTCATTTTCTTTGGATATTGAAGGCTACAGATCACGGATTTTCCCTGAGACTATTCTCCAACGATGATTGAGTCCATTAAGCACCGATTTGGGCGGATTTATTCCGGGTCAATTTTTGGCAGATTCCAAAGGGGTACCATCACATATTTCGGGCGATTCATCTGAATGTCAATTTTCTTTCGATTCTGGAGGCTATAGATCACGGAATCAGGCCGAGGCTATTCTCCACCGAAATGAAGCCTATTGATCCTATTCTCCATGGATGATAAGTCCGTTAAGCATCAATTTGGAACAATTTTCAAATGGTATTTTCGTAATTTCTTGGGCGACGAAAGGCCATTTTCTTTGGATATTGAAGTCTACAGATCACATATTCGGCCAGAGGCTATTCTCCAACGATAATTGAGTCCTTTAAGCACCAATTTGGGCGGATTTATTCCGGGACAATTTTTGGCATATTCCAAAGGGGTACCATCACAGATTTCTGGAGATTTATCTGAAATGCCATTTTATTTCGATTCTGGAGGCTACAGATCACAGAATCAGGCCGAGGTTATTCTCCACCGATAATGAAGTATATTGATCCTATTCTTTACGAATGATAAGTTCGTAAAGGATCAATTTGGGCCAATTTATTTTCGGATGACATTTTTCTTAATATCTTGGGCGACGAAAGGCCATTTTCTTTGGATATTGAAGGCTAAAGATCAAGGATGCAGCATGAGGCTATTCTCCAACGATGATTGAGTCCATTAAGCACCGATTTGGGCGGATTTGTTCCGTGTCAATTTTGACAGATTCCAGTGGGGTACCATCACAGATTTCGGGAGATTTATCCGAAATGCCATTTTCTTTCGATTATGGAGGCTACAGATCACGGAATCAAGTCGAGGCTATTCTCCACCGATAATGAAGTCTATTGATCCTATTCTCCACGGATGATAAGTCCGTTAAGCATCAATTTGGGCCAATTTATTTTCAGATGGCATTTTCGTAATTTCTTGGGCGACGAAAGGCCATTTTCTTTGGATATTGAAGGCTATAGATCACGGATTCACCTTGAGGCTATTCTCCAACGATGATTGAGTCCAATAAGCACCGATTCGGGCGGATTTATTCCGGGACAATTTTTGGCAGATTCCAAAGGGGTACCATCACAGATTTCGGCCTAGTTATCTGAAATGCCATTTTCGTTCGATTCTGGAGGCTACAGATCACGGAATCAGGCCGAGACTATTCTCCACCGATAATGAAGTCTATTGATCATATTCTCCACGGATGATAAGTCCGTTAAGCATCGATTTGGGCCAATTTATTTTCTGATGGCATTTTCGTAATTTCTTGGGCGACGGAAGGCCATTTTCATTGGATATTGAAGGCTACAGATCACGGATTCGGCCTGAGGCTATTCTCCAACGATGATTGAGTCCATTAAGCACCGATTTAGGCGGATTTATTCCAGGACAATTTTTGGCAGATTCCAAAGGGGTACCATCACAGATT